ACGGGCTGCTCTCTCCGTCTGGTCCGGACGTGAAGCCATGGACCCCCACCCGCCCGCGCTGGAAGGGCTGTCGTGCAGGTGGGACCGTCCGGAGCCCCACATGCCCCCGGGCCTGAACCGAGAGCAGGCCTGGGCCTGGGCCCTGGATAACTTCCCGGCGCTGAGCCGCCCCTCCTGCCAACGCCCCGAGTTGTGCGGGGTCTGGGACCCCGGTGCGTGCGCGGTGCTGCGCCACGCCTGCCCCTGGCACGGAGATGCCCCCCCGGCGGAGAGGGGCCAGAAACGCTGTCGAGACCCAGACGCCCAGGCGGACACGGCGATGGAGCTGCAGTCGCGTCAACGAGAGGCCCTTGCGACAGACCGAGCTGCCACATGGACCCTGAAGCGGCCACGAGATGCCCGCGCCGGCGGGGGTGGGCAGACCCACGGCCACGTCGCCCCTAAGAGCCCAGGCGGTCCCCGGAAGCTGCTCAAAACCCTGGCTCAGGTCAAGGTGGAACGCGGAGAGGAAAAGAATTCCAGCATTGCCTGCGCCCACAGCGCCGCTTCAACCCACGCGATGGAAGGAGCCGCAAACCCCGTACGGGGCCCTCATTGTGTCTGCGTGGACGCCTCCCCGCTGGACTGGCCGCAGCGAGACGAGCCTTAAGGTCTCCGTGGTGGAGAACCTTGCTCATTTGCTTTACCTTTCCTCTGTGTCCTGCAGCGTTTTACATTAGAAAACGTTCCTCATGGAGTCAATACGTTGTAAACCTTTTCTTCTAGAGCTGCTGAGAGACACAATTCGTCTCTTACTGGAATTCCACATGGCAATTAAAGCCTTTTTTCCTAATTCTCAGCCCGTGGATTGGATTTTCGGTGGGTGTGGTGAGGACCGGAAGGGAGTGGCGGGTTTGGGACTGAAAGGCTGACTGTGACCCAGGTCGGAGCTCATTAAAAGCAAAGAAATGCAAATGAAAACAGTGATTACCAGGGGGGAGTGGGACGTGGGTGAAAGAGGTGAAGGGGACTGAGTTCATTTACAGTGTTGAGCACTGAGTAATGTGCAGAATTTATCCATGTTGGTCAACATATAGAAAGAAGTAATTCTCAGATACCGTTTTGGGAATGAATTTGAAAAGCTCTTTGGAAGGGCAGTCTGGCAAATTTACACTAAAACATTTTTTTTTATTGCTAGGAGAGAGACAGAGAGAGACAGCGTGAGCAGGGGAGGGTCAGAGAGAGGGAGACACAGACTGAAACAGGCTCCAGGCTCTGAGCTGGCAGTCAGCACAGAGCTCGATGCGGGGCTCGAACCCACAAACCGGGAGTTCATGACCTAAGCGAAAGTCGGACGCTTAACCGACTAAGCCACCCAGGCGCCTCATACATTAAAACATTTCAATGTGAACACTTATTGGGCTCAGAAATTCCACTTCTTGCAAGAAATCGTAGTTTAAAACAAGCGTGCTGGAGGAGCTAAGACGGTGCAGGTTAGGGGGACCCTTAGCTTGTCTCATCCCTTGAACACAGCCAGGAGTGTTCAAATCATTGGGAAGACCCAAGAAACCTATCAGAGGTCTGAGAGAACAAAAACTGCTAGTCTCCAAGGAGAAAAGTGTCCCTGCTTTGGATGGGAGGAGGTGGGGAGAGTAGCTTGGTGGAGACACAGCCCCGGGTGTGTGGGTAGGAAAGGATCCCGCGGACGAAGCCACCGCGAAGTGTTGCACGCAGTGGAACACAAACTGTGAACTTTGGAAGTTGGCTCCCATCTGGGACATGCCGGGCTCAAACGTGCTCAGGGGTCAAAGCAGCATAGAGTCCCAGGAGTGACAGCATGGCCTGAGGATCCCCTGGGTGACCAGAAGAAAGGGTGGCGCCAGTGAGCCGCACTGTGCCCAGGCGTGGGAGCTGGGACCGCAGCCGAGGGCAGGGAGCTGGGGCGTCGGCTCTCTGCTCTGTTTTGCCATAGATTGCGAACTGCTGCGTGGTGGTGGCACCGCTTTCCTTGCACGCCCGGCTAACAGCAAACGCTGGGTGAGACCCTCCCTCGGGGAACAGCGCAGGTCACAGGTCGAGAACCGGGCAGTCCCTAAAGTTCAGAGTTTTGAGTCAATCCTGCGCCCGAGGTACAAAAGCTCAGGACAGAGAGTGAATCCAGGGTTCTGATGGAAACAAGGGACACATGAGGGGTGACTGGTTGCTCTTTGGTGCGAATTCCCTGAAAAGGGGGTAGGAGGGGGTGGAAAATTTGAGGTGGGATGCTAGAGAGCGGTCCCGCTCTATTCGTCCCACCCACAGGCACCGGAAACCTTCAGGCAGCAAAACAGCGGCCCCTAGTGGAGGCCAGAGCCGCTTCCAGCAACCCCCTGCCCTACAAGTGCATCTCCACTAGGTCAAGTCCACCTGAGAGGCAGGGCAACAGGTTCCTCCTCTAGAGACCGGCACAAACTTGCTGCCACCAAGTCTACTGATCACGGAGTGCTGCCACACCTCAGCTCTGGGGGAATAGGATCTAGCGACCTTTTTGAATCAATTCTTTGATTTTTTATTATGATTTTTTCATTTCCTTTCATTTTTTCAATTCCCATTTTGTTTTCTTTATTATGTTTTAATTTTTATTTTACACATGTTTTTAAAATTTATTTTATTTTACGTAGGACCTAGATTAATTTAACATGCTGACCACACACTCCCCAGATCTAGGTTTTTTCTGTCTTTGTTTCTTTTTGTTTTGTTTAGTTTGTTTTATCTTTCTTCTTTTCTTTTCTGGACAAAATGATGAGACATACAAATTCACCCCAAAAGAAAGAACAGGAAGTTAATCTCATGACCAGGGGTTTAATCACTACAGGTATAAGTGAGATGTCTAAGTAGAATTAAAACAATGATTGTAAAGATACTAGCTGGGCTAGGAAAGGCATAGAAGACACTGGAAAATTCCTTTATGCAGAGATAAAAGAACTAAAATCTGGTCACGTTGAAATTAAAAATACTATAACTGAGATGAAAACCCAAATGGGGGCTATACAATAGAGTATGGATGAGAAGATTTGCAGAACAGAGAATCAGTGAAAAACAAGGTAAAATTATGGGAGGGAAATGAAGCAAAAAAAAAAAAAAGAAAGAAAGAAAGAAAGAAAGAAAACAAGGAAAGAATGGTAATAGATCACAATGATAGACTTAGGGAACTCAGTGACTTATTAAAACAGAATAACATTCCTATTATAGGAGTCTCAGAAAATGAAGAGAGAGAAAAACGGGTGGAAGGTTTATTCAAACAAATTATAGTTGAAAACTTCCCTCATTTGGGGAAGGACACAGATACCAAATAAAAAAAAAAGGTAGACAGAACTCCCATTAGATGCAATAAAAGCTGACCATCACCAATGATAACATAGTCAAATTCACAAATACATAGATGAGGAAAAATCAAGAAAGCAGCAAGGGAAAAAATCCTTAACTTACAAGGGAAAACAGGTCAGGTTCACATTAGATATGTCCACAGAAACGTGGCAGGCCAGAAAGGAGTGGCAGGATATATTCAACATGGGAAGGGGAAAACATATGCAGCCAAGAATTCTTTATCCAGCAAGGCTGCCATTCAGAATAGAAAGAGAGATAAAGAGTTTTCCAAACAAACTAAACCTGAAGGACTGAGTGACCACTAAACCAACCCTCAATAAATCTTAAGGGGACTCTGAGTGGAGAAAAAAAATACCAAAAGCAACAAAGACTAGAAAAGAACAGAGAACATCACCAGAAGCACCGAATCTACAGGTAGCACAATGGCATTAAATTCATGCCTTTGAATAATCACTCTGAATGTAAGTGAATTAAATGCTCCAATCAAAAGACATAGGGTATCATAATGGATAAAACACCAAGCTCCATCTATATGCTGCCTACAAGAGAGTCATTTTCAACCTATAGCACCTGCGATCGCAAGTGAGGATACGAGGAACCATCTATCATGATAATGGTTGTCAAAAGAAAGCCAGCGTAGCCATACTTACATAAGACATACCAGATTTTCAACAGACTGTACAAGAGATGAAGAAGGACCTTGTATCATAATGATCATAATAATCATAATGATTATCTTTCCATCAAGAAGATCTAACAATTGAAAAAATATATTTCCCGAATGTGGAGCACCAAAATATATAAATCAATTAATAACAAACATAAAGAAACTGAATGATAATAATACAATAGTAGTAGGGGACATTAACACCCCAACTACAGCCATGGACAGAGCATCTAATCAGAAAATGGCTTTGAACCAGACCAGATGGGCTTAACACATATATTCAGAACAGTTCCTCCTAAAGTAGCAGAATAAACACTCTGCTCCAGTGTACATGGAACATTCTCTAGAAGAGATCACATACTGGGTCACAAATCAGCTCTGAACAATTGCAAAAGGACTGAGATCATACCAATGTATATTGTCAGACCACAACACTATGAACCTTGAAGTCAACCACAAGAAAAAGGTGGGAAAGCCCTCCAATACATGGAGGTTACAAAACATCCTCCTAAAGAATGAATGAGTTAACCAGAAAAGTAAAGAAGAAATAAAAATATACAGGGAAGCGAATGAAAACGAAAACACGACAGTCCAAAACTTTTGGGATCCGGCAAAGGCAATCCTAAGAGGGAAGTATACTGCAATTCAGGCCTATGTCAAGAAGCAAGAAATGTCCCCAGTACACAGCCTAGCCTTACACGTAAAGGAGCTAGAAAAGGAAAAGCAAATAAAGCCTAAGGACAGCCAGCAAAAGAAAAGAACTAATAAAGATTAGAACAGAAATAAATTACATACAAACAAACAAACAAACAAACAAAAAGGAGTAGAACAGATCAACAAAACTAAAACTGGTTCTTTGAAAGAGTTAATAAAATGGATAACTCCCCAAGCTGACTTATCAAAAAGTAGAGAGAAAGAGAGGTGAAAAGCAGCGAAGGCCCGGTGTCCCATCGTGGCCGGCTTCGCCTTGCCCTGAGTATCCCTGGAAATGGCGTACTCAAATTGTGAAAACAGCGAGCAGAATTTCTCAGAGGCATTAGAGGAAGAAACTGTGGTTCTCACATTGGTTCCAGTTAATGTGGAACCTAATGGAGAAGAGCAAATGGAACCAAGCGTTTCTTCAACTTCAGAAGTGGGCCTGGAGAAGCCTGGGACAAACGATAAAGTTTGTCATTCTCAAATGAGTGAACAATTCAAGTCTTGTCCAAAACATAGTTGTTGCACTACAACAAGCCTTCCTTTGCCAACCAGTTTGCCTCCAGTTAATAAAGTACGTTGGGATACTTTGCGGAACTGGTGCCAACAATTTAATTTGAGTACCGATGGCCGGAAAATAGATGTTTATCTGAGGCTCCAGAAACATGCTTACTCTGAAATAAACGAGAATATTCCTAAAATATCACCAGAGGCCAAATTGCAGCCATGTTCGACAACATGCAAGATGGCAGCAAAGACAGCAAGGATTCGGAAAAGTTGTAAGAAGGCTAAGAGAGAGGAAGGGATTAATATAGTGGAGGTGATAACTTCAGCACAAGAAGGCATGTTGGCAGCGTGGTCAAGAATTGCTGTAAGAGCCAGTCAATCCAAATCTGTGAATTCACGTCCCATTCCTGCTTCTGTTGAGACCTTTCTGCTGCAAGCCCCTGGCATCAGGTGGTGTGTGGTCCATGGCAGACCTCTGTTGGCAGACACAAAAGGTTGGGTTCGCCTGCAGTTTCATGCAGGTCAGGCCTGGGTACCTGACACCCCCAAGAGGATGATCTCTCTCTTCCTGTTACCCGCCTGCACTTTCCCGTCCCCTGGCCTAGAAGATAATATGTTATGCCCTGAATGTGCTAAGAGGAATAAGAAGATAATGAAAAGATTAATTGCTATGGGGAAGGAGAGGCGACGTGGCTTGAAAACATCAACATCTTTGCCTTTGAGTGGGCCATATCTTAATAACGAATAAATGGTGGAGAGCCCGTGGCTACTATTGATTTTCATCCCAGTGACTGTCGTGCTCTGTCCTGGCCATTTTCCGTATTGCCTGAGGCTTTGGGCACAGATGCGAATGTCTAGATTCTGTTCTTGAGGTTTGCCAAGAAGTGACTGCTACTGCTACCTCTTAGTTATACAGAATATAATTTAGTTTTGCTTTAATTCATAGATTTTTTAAAAGTAGCTTTAGGCTTTCAGAAAAACTGAGCAGAAAGTACAGAGTTTAGAAATACTGCCTCAACTCCTTCCCCTACTATTAAAATCCTGCACCAGAGTGATACATGTGTTAAGCCTACATTGACTTATTGTTATCACCCAAACCCCATAGCTTACAAGAGGGTTCACTTTTTGTGTTGTACAGGCTATGGGTTTTGGCAAGTATATAGTGACATTCTACATCCACCATTATGGTGTCATCTAAAGAGTTTCACTAACTCTAAAACTTTTATGTTCCATCTACTCAACACTCTTACCAACATCCCTGACCACTGATTTTTTACTGTCTCTTTGGCTTTGCCTTTTCTAGAATGTTCATACATTTGAAATCATAAGTAGCCTTTTCAAATTAACTTCTTTCACAGCAATATGCATTTAGGTTTCCTCCTTTTCATGACTTGATAGCCCACTTCTTTTTGGTGCAGAATACTCCATTGCCCTCATGTACTTTAGTTTGTTTATTCATTTACATATTAAAAGTCATCTTGGCTGCTTCCAACTTTTGGCAATTATGAATAAGGCTGCTTTATTGTGTGCAGGTTTTTGTATGGGCATAAGATTTCTACTTATTTAGGTAAATACTAACGGAAGTGATCGCTGGATCATGTGGTAAAAGTATGTTTAGTTTTGTAAGAAACTGCCAAACTGTCTCCCAAAGTGGCTGTACCATTGTGCATTCCCACCAGGAGTGATGGAGAGTTCTTCTTGCTCCACATCCTTACCAGCATTTGGTGTCAGTGGTTTGGATTTTGGCCATGTTAATGGGCTTGTAGAAGCATATCTCATTGCTTTAACATGCAATTCTCTAATGACCTGACATGTTCAGCTCCATTTCATGTGCTTATTTGTTATCTATATATCTTCAGTGAGGTATCTATTCAGAGGTTTTTCCCCATTTTTTCATCTGGTTCATTTTCTTATTGTTGGGTTTTAAGAATTCTTTCATATTTTGAATGGTAGTCTTTTATTGGATAAGTCTTTTGCAAATATTTTTCCCAGACTCGCTTGTTTTCTCATTCTCTTGATTAATTTGTATATTTAGGTTATTGATGTTGACATAGATGGCTTAAAATCTGTATTTTTTTCATTGCCCTTTTTTATGTGTTATATAAGTAATGATCAACAAGCTCTTAAGGCTGTATTGTTACTATTACCATCTTTTTAAATAGTGGAATTTAGCTGACACAAAATATTAGTTTCAGGTGTACAACGTAGTGATTAGACATTTATATACATTACAAAATGCTCACCAGCATAAGTGCAGTCCCCATCTGTCACCAAAGTTATTTCAGGATTGCTGACTATATTCCCTATGCTGTACTTTTCCTCCCTGTGTTTTTTCTTTTAATAAATGAAAGTTTGTACCTTGCAATCCCCAAAAAAAAAAAAAAAAAAAAAAAAAAGTAGAGAGAAAGAGCCCAAATTGATAAAATCATGAATGAAAGAGGGGAGATCACAACCAGCACTGAAGAAATACAAACAATTAGAATACTACGAAGTTATACGCCAACAAACTGGGTGATCTGGGAGAAATGGACAAATTCCTAGAAGCATACAAACTATCACAACTGAAACAGGAAGAAAAATAAAAATTCAACAGACACATAGCCACAAAAAAGTTGAAATAGCAGTAAAAAATCTACTAACAGGGACACCTGGGTGGCTCAGTCAATTAAGCGGCTGACTTCAGCTCAGGTCATGATCTCACAGTTCCTGGGTTCGAGCCCCGTGTCGGGATCTGTGCTGAGAGCTCAGAGCCTGGAGCCTGCTTCGAATTCTGTGTCTCCCTCTCTCTCTGACATCCCCCACTCACATTCTGTGTGTGTCTCTCTCTCTCTCAAAACTAAAAAAATAAACATTAAAAACATTTTTTAAAATCTACTAACAAACAAAAGTCCTGAGCCAGATGTCTTCCCAGCGGAATTCTACTAGACATTTAAAAAAGAATCAATGCCCATTCTTCTCAAACTATTCCCAAAAATTGCAACGGAAAGAAAACTTCCAAACTCATTCTACGAAGCCGCATCTCCTTGATTCCAAAACCTAAGACCCCACTAAAAAGGTAAATAACAAGCCAATGTCCCTAATGAACATGGAGGCACAAAGTCTCAAGAAAATAGTAACAAATAAAATTCAACACTACAGTACAAGAATTATTCACCTTGATAAAGTGGGATTTATTTCTGGGCTGCAGGGTTGGTTCAATACTTGCAAATCAATCAACAGGATACACCACATTAATAGAAGAAAGGTTGAGGACCATATGATCCTGTCAAGACATGCAGAAGAAACATTTGACAAAATACAGCATCGTTCTGGATAAAAACCCTTAACAAAGCCTAGAGATAGATGGAACATATCTTAACACCATAAAGGTCATATGCAAAAGACCCATAACTAATGTCATCCCCCATGGAGGAAAACTAAGAGCCTTTCCCCTACAGTCCAGAAGACAAGGATGTCCACTCTCACCGTTCCTATTTAACATAATACTGGAAGTCTTAGCCTGAACAATCAGACAATAAAGAGAAATAAAAGGCATCCACATTGGCAAGGAAGAAGTCAAACTTTCACTATTTTCACTCAATATGATACTCTGTGCAGAAAACATGAAAGATCCCACCAAAAACTTTCTAGAACTAATACCTGAATTCAGCAAACTCACAGGATATAATGTCTGTGTGGAGATATAATTTGCATTTCTATACACGAATAATGAAGCAAGCAGGAAAAGAAATTAAAAAATCGATCCCAGTTGCAATTGCACCAAAAACAATTACATACATGAGTATAAACCTAACCAAAGAGGGAAAAGATCTGTACTCTGAAAACTATAGAGCACATAGGAAAGAAATTGAAGTGGATACAAAGGAATGGAAAAGCATCCATGCTCACAGATTGGAAGAAGAAACATTGTTCAAATGTCTATACTACCCAAAGCAATCTACACATTTCATGCAATCCCTATCAAAATAACACGAGCATTTCTTGCAGACCTAGAAGAAACAATTCTAAAATTTGTATGAAACCACCAAAGACCCTGAATACCCAAACCAATTCTGAAAAGGAAAACAAAACTGAAGGCATCATGATTCCAGAATTCAAGCTATATCACAAACCAGTAGTCATCAAGCCCATATGGTTCTGGCACAAAACCAGACACAGAGATCAATGAAGACAGTTTCTTCAACAAATGGCATTGGGAACGTTGGACAGCAACATTCAGAAGAATGAAACTGGGCCACTTTCTTACACCATACACAAAAATAAATTCAAAATGGGTGAACGACATAGCTACGAGACCTAACGACGTGCGAGGAAACCATCAAAGGCCTAGAGGAGAACACAGGCAGCAATGTCTTTGACCTCAGCCACAGAGATTTCTTACTAGACATGTCTCTGAAGGCAAGGGAAATAAAAGCAAAGATGAACCATTGGGACCTCAGCAAGATATACAATTTCTACACAGTGAAGAAAACAATCAACACGGTGAAAAGGCAACATGTGGAACGGGAGAAGATATTTGTAAGTGACATAGCAGATGAAGGGTTAGCATACAAGATCTCTAGAGAACTTACCAAACTCAACACCCGAAAAACAGATAATGCATTGTGGAAATGGGCAGAAGACACGAATAGACACTTTCCCAAAGAAGCCATCCAGATAGTTAACAGATACATGAAAAGGTGCTCACCCTCAGTCATCCTCAGGGAAATACAAATCAAAACCATAATGAGATACCACTTCATACCTGTGAGAATGGCAAAAATTAACAATACAGGAAACAACAGGTGTTGGCGAGGAGGCAGAAGGAGGGGGACACTTTTGCACTGCTGGTGGGAATGCAAACTGGTGCAGCCACTCTGGAGAACACTATGGAAGTGCCTTGAACAACAAAAAATAGAACTACCCTATGATCCAGTAATTGCACTACTAGGTTTACCCAAAGGATATAAAAATACAGATTGGAAGGGGTACAGGCACCCCAATGTTACAGCAGCACTAGCAACCATAGCCAAACTATGGATAGAGCCCAATGGATAAAGAAGACATGGTATATATATACACAATGGGATATTACTCAGCCATCAAAAAGAATGAAATCTTGCCATTTGCAATGACGTGGAAGGAGGTACAATGTAATGGTAGGCAAAATGAGTCAACCAGAGAAAGACAAATACCATATGATTTCACTCATATGTGGAATTTAAGAAAGCAAACAGAAAACATATTGGAAGTGGGTGGGGGGGAAGTGGAAGAGGAGAGAGGAAAACAAACCACAAAGACTCTTAAACAGAGAAAAACCTGATGGTTGACAGAGGGAGGTGGAATGAGCTAGTTGGATGGTGGGTATTAAAGACGGCACTTGTTATGATAAGCACAGGATGTTGTAGGCAAGTGAAGAATCACTGAAATCTACTCACGAAACCAATATTGCAGTGTATGCTAACAAAGATTTAAACTAAAGAAAGAATAAAAATGCTTTGCAGTGAAAGATTTAGAACAAAAATCGTTGTACATCCGTACAATCCCAAACAGTGCGGCCCTTAGAAATGAAATGAAGGCATGATTTTGAAAAGCTATGCTAGAGGCTGAATAGGCTACAGGCCTCTGTATCCTGGGAAGGCAGTGACTGTAGCAATGGGGCTAAGAGAGTGTTGTTCTAATCCGGGTGGGGAGGGAAGCACTAAGGCTCAGCCACCGGGTAGGCTTGGAGAAGGGCCAAGACTGGGGACGCTTCCCCACGTGGACACC